ATTTAACTGCTAGAAGAAATGAAAATTCAAATACTGAAGAGTTTGAAAAACGTTTTCAAAGTTCAGATCTTTAAATGGACATTTAACCTGTACAAACACTCAATGAAAACCAGCTTATGAACACTTTGAATGCCAAGGAGCCGAGAGACGAGGAGCCGATTTTGATCTTCGAAATTGGAAGAAAGCTAGCAGTGCAGTACTTGGAAAACTTGTTTTTTTAGTTGAACCTGAACTATAGTAGTGTAGGTAGTATTTTGTAATCGTAGTCTCGGGCTATTGGAAAACAAATTACGGTATAAACAAAATACCGTAAATTAGCGTAAAATTGACGATGGTAGTTTGTAAAGTAAGCTTAAGTTTCTTACGATAGATTGGTTCATTCTTGTTAGACTATGAAAAAATTTTTACATTATTTTTTGACTTCTCTAACACCATCACGGTCAAGCAAAAAGCTTCTAGTTTAGTGAAATAAGGTCATTGTAATAGTCGCAGCACAAACGAAAGAAAGCTTTACTCGTCGAAATGTAGTACCAATCAAATGTGCTTCAAAACGACATATTTTCCTTTAGAGGAAAGACATAATTCTTGATAAAAATAAATGAATATTTTAAATTTAAAATGTGAAAATGCTTAAAATTTAAAAGCCGAATTCCTGTGAAGTATTTTCTATGTTTAATTTTGTATAGAAAACATGGTTTTGACGTCATATCAATGTTTCTATACTCTGATAAAACATAGCTTTTCAGCCAATCAGAGCGCGCGTTCGTGAAAATCTATTATATAATATAGAATAGAATATAGAATGTATGCTCGATATATCGATTTCTATTAAGCTCGCAACAGCCTTACGAAATTGATAGAAATGTAGGCCATTCTGCTTCCTCTTCAACTGAATATGAACATTTCAAAACTAAAATGGAAGATTTAGAACAGCAATGACCACTAATGGCGTCACATTCCAAAATGAATATGGCCGGCATTATATTTGAAGATGTATATCAAGGTATAAAACGCATATATTCATCATGTTTTGTTCTCCAACAGCTTTCTTTTCAAGGTCTATTGTTCAAGGCGTCATTGCTGGAGTTGTGGGAGCTCTAATCCTAATTCTGATTTTTGCAATTATTTGTGTATGCAGAAAAAGAAGGTAACACCGTGAAACAGTAATTAGACGGCAAGCATTTCCACCTTTCTTTCCAGACTCAGTAAAGACGCGTCCATAGGATTCCTGTGGACGCGCGGAGCCGCGTAGACGATTTAGAGCGCGTCCACACGAATCCTAAAAAAATCACCTCTTCTGAGCCTAGAGGGAGAAGTGCCAGGGGACTGTTTGCAGTCTATACAGTATCATGATGATATCGTTATATAGACCCCTTGCAATACTACAGGCTAGGAAATACTGCATGCAATATATTGCATGATTTCCTTATCAATAAAAATCAAAAGCTTTTTTAAAGTAATTATTCTTTAATAGATATGTAATTTCTTTTTTCTGTTTTCTTTTCCTCGACCGCAGGAGACGTCGATCAATCAGTAGGGAACTTCTCGCAATGAGTACGTGCACGTTTTCGATATTCATACTTATAGGAGTTTTGAAAAAAAAAAAATATTCCATCGTTTGCAGGTTTTAACGGAAAGTTGATTGCAGTTACATTTGCCAATCCTCCAGTTTTGAGATTTCTATTAATCAGGGTTATTCCTCGAATAATTTTTTTTTTTCGAACAGCACCTGACATAACAATGATTTTTCAGATCCGAATTTCATTCTAGTTGATGGTCATAAAATGTACGTCGACCCCAGTAATTATGGGAGCCCAATGGAGGCGTTGATGTGTACTGCCGAAGAAATAGAAAGAGAAAAGATTGAGCTTGAAAAAAGTATTGGTGGAGGTAAGAATAAAGAAAAGAAATTATGCTAACTATTGCCATTGCAATAGGACGTTATTTTTGACTACCATTACCAAAATTCTTTGCAAAAAAATTTTTCTTATTCAAATGTGTGTTTACTCATGTGGAAAGTAAAACAGTTGGTTCTACTTAAATGAACAGAAGAAAGTGTGCAAGGGATTGTGGTAGTTGTAGTTAAATGATGACGCCATAATATAAATGTATATTTATACACGTCAAATGACTGTTTTAACATCCGGCGATTTTTAGGTGAATTTGCCGATGTTTACAAAGGGACATTGAAAAACGATTCTGGTAGAGAAATTGTTGCTGTGAAAATATTAAAGGTAGGCCGTGCAATTATTTGAGGCGCCTGCTGTTTCTAGGGCATCTGGGGCCTGTTTCAGTTCTTGAGAGAGAAAATTTACATTGTTTTCACCTTGATAGCCCGGATGTTAGAGACGATATCCCCGCAAAAGGATTTAGTGCCTGGGCAAGGACCCTGTGACATTCTCTGATCCCCCAATTCCATAGGTATTTTCTAGTTCAAATATATCGGCGCATCTCTTTTACTACGCTGATTGCAGGAAAGTTTCGGTCGTGGGCTAGAATCTATTCCAGTATCTAAGCTAGATTTTGTTTTATGCGTTACTCATTTATTCATTCGTACGTAATTTCCGCAGCCAAAACCATCAGTCAAGAATCGTGAGGATTTCATACGAGAGGCTTCGATCATGGGGCAGTTTAAACACCCTAACGTGATTGCTCTAAAGGGCGTGGTTACACGCAGTTCTGACACACCCATGATGATAGTAACGGAATACATGGCTAACGGTTCTCTGGATCATTTCTTGATGGTAGGTCATTTTGGTATGGGATTCATTAGGTGTCTGTTGTACGGTGAAACTTTAACTGAACAGCTTGTTGAGAAAAGATTCATGATAATCCTTGCACGAGATAATCCAAAGACTAAAACTTGACTCGCGACACATTTTGCTTGTATGAGTAGAAAGTTTCTTTTTCTTTGGTGAAACATCTACTAAGAGAAGGTATTACTAAGCTAAACATGTTAATTTACATGCACGTTTTAATAATACGTAACATTTTCCTAAACCGTTTTCAAAAATGTCTTTACGAACGACAGCTGTTTTAGGCAAACGTTTGAGCATGTAAAGGAGCTTACTAACTGTGCGACAGCCAATCTTCTGATAACTTAACTTAATTAATTTGGTTTTCTTCAATTCTTTCTTTTTGGCCTCTTCAGGGTCATGAAGGTCAATTGACAGTGCTGCAGCTGCTAGGCATGATCAGAGGTGTTGCCGACGGGATGGCATATTTGTCGGGGATGAATTTCATTCATAGGGTAAGCATTTTGTCGTCATATTGAATGGCTGGTAAGTCGCAATAGCAGATATCGGAGTTACACTCTGTTGCCTTCAAACAATTCTTTCAAGTCGAGGCATTTGGGTCAATACAATGAAATGTATAGAAACTGACCCAAATGTAACAATTGTCTGAAGGCAATAGAGTGTAACTCCGATATCTGCTATTGACTAACTAGTTGTGCAATCAATTCATTAGATATACTGTCTGAAACGACGCAAATACTTCATTCGCGTTGCTTTGGTAGAATGTATACCATATATCCGTGAAAAAGTTAAAACATTAACAAAGTTGTTTGAATTAGTGCAAATTTTTATTGTTCTACGGTCTACGGAACGTACTAATTTGTGCAAATTTGTGCAATTTCTTCCAATTTTTTTACGGATATATGGTATGCGCTCTAACATCAATCTGCACTAATTCGTCCCAAATTCAGTAGTCTATTCAAATCATTGCTAAGTTCGTGACCCTAATATATACATATATATTGTACAGGACTTGGCGGCCCGCAACATCTTGGTTGCAGACAACATGGCGAGCAAAGTGGCTGACTTTGGCTTGTCACGTGAACTGGACGATGCTGAGGATAATCCTAATTCCGTTTATCAGACTCAGGTAACCTGAACAATTTTTTTCCCCACTAAGGGACTGTTCATTAATTATGCCTCAGGGTGGGCTGGAGGAAAAATTGAAAAAAAACCTTGGAAAAGTTCACAACCCAATTCTATCTGAAAACATTTTTTGCCC